AGAATTGATGCCTTTGAGTTGTGGTGTTGGAGGAGAATACTAAAAGTGCCATGGACTGCCAAAAGAACCAATAGATCTGTTTTGGAAGAGGTGTACCCAGAGTGCTCCTTGGAGGCCAGGATGGCTAAGCTTTGCCTCTCATACTTTGGACATGTTGTCAGGAGGGAAAAGTCACTGGAGAAGGATAACATGTTGGATAAGATGGAGGGTCAGAGAAAAACAGGAAGACGCCCAATGAGATGGATCGGCCAGGTGGCATCATTGATGGCGTCAAGTGTGGCAGCAGTAGTGAGTTTGGCCTAAGATTGGACATTGTTTCGTTCTGTTGTGCATGGGGTCGCTATGAGTCTTTTCTGACTCGATGGCACCTGACAACAACAACATTTCATGGGTCAAGTGTTGTGCTGCTACCCCACTAAGATCAGTGGTTCAAACCCACCAGCTGCTCTGTGTGAGAAAGATAAGGCTGTCTGGTCTTGTAAAGATTTACAGTCTCAGAAACCCTGAGGGGAAGCTCTACTCTGTCCTATAGTGTCACCATGAGTTGGAATTGACTTGGTGGAAGTAGTGTTTTAAATTTCTGATCTTATACTTTAAAAGTTCCATATAGGTCCCTATCCTTTTGCTAGAGTTAAAACCTATGGACTGAACTGTGTCCCACAAAAATGTGTGTTGCAAATCCTATACACCTGTGGTTATAATCCCATTTGGGAATGGGTTTTCTTTGCCATGTGTAGTGTGTGTCTTTAGTCAATCTTTTTTTTTTAAATTTAAATTAAAAAAAAAGTTTGATTGTGAATTATGTGATAGTTTGCATGGGAGAACATTAGTTTTACATAGTCAATCTCTTTTAAAATATAAAAGAGCAGATTAAGCTTCTGGGGCCAGAAGGCAAAGTAAGCAGACCTGGTGAGCAGACCCTCTCCAACAAGGACATTAGAGACCAAGTGAATCAGATATGGTGATCCTGGTACCCTGAACTTGAGAGGATAGGACAAAGTGGTAGACTGAGTGATGCTTGGAAGAGGAAAGTAAATGGAAGCAGTGAGAAAGAAGTAAAACAGGAGGGCAGCTGGCTGGCTAGAGGCACAGGATGGCTGAAGGTTGGCAGCAAGAGAAGTGCAGTATGTTCTCTGTGTCCTTGCCAGGTCAAAGGCAAGAGCAAGTTGTGCCTACAGTATGGCAGAGAAAAGGTGTTCCAGATTACAGGACAACTGCATCTTGAATTGTTTAAGTTTACCTCCCTAATAAAGCCTATAATCATGAGTATTATCTATGAATTCTGTGTGGCCATCACAATGGATTATCAAATTCAGATGTGAAGCAAAGAGTGCTGTGGGAAGGATGGTTGTTGTCAGAATAGGGTAAAGGAGATTATAGGATGGTGGCGTGTCTAACCTCCACTTCACAGGAATTGGCCTTGGGATAATTTTGAGTTTGATTCTCCTTCTTCCTTATTAAGATAAAGAAAGTCAGACATGGCCTCCATGCTATTTTTTCAAAACCACAGAGAAAAGTGTCCAAAAGTTGTTCCCTAATATTATGAAAGATGAGAAAATAGTAATTCTAGAATCTGAACAAACTCCAATCAGAAAATCACCAACACACATTATAATCAAACTTTCCAAAACCAAAAACATGTGAAGAATCCTGAGGGCAGATGAAGAAAAATGAAAAGCTACCTACAAAGTAAAACTGATCATGACTAGCTCTGATTTCTCAGCAGAAAGCATGCAGCCAAGAAGGCAATGGGATGACATATATAAAACTTAAAGAAACAAATTGACAATCAAGAATCATACACCCAATAAAAATTTTTCATCCATTAAGATGGCAAAATTAGGACATTTCTAGATAGACAGAAATGAAAAAGAATTGGTAAAAATCAGACAAACCGCTCTCTCTCTCAGGTCCTTGCTGCCAAGATAATAAAGAAAAGGAGAAACAACGGTCATGCCCAAAAGGGCCGTGGTCACATGCAGCTTATTTACTGCGTGAACTGTGCCCACTGCATGCCCAAAGACAAGGCCTTTAAGAAGTTCGTAATCTGAAACACAGTAGAGGCCACAGCCATCAGAGATATTTCCGAAGCGAGTGTCTTCCATGCATATGTGCTTCCCAAGCAGTACGTGAAACTCCATTATTGTGTGAGCTGTGACAGTCACAGCAAGGTGCTCAGGAACCATTCTTGTGAAGCTCAGAAGGACTGGACACCCCACCCCGATTTAGACCTGCAGATGCTGCCCCACGACCACCACCAAAAACCCAGGTAAAGAATTGAGCCCTTAAATGCTGAAGTAAAACTAACCTTAAAAAAAAAAAAAAAAAAAAAACTCTATTAATTTGAGGGGTAAAAAATAAAAAAATACTATGTGTATATTGCAAAGTTTTCCAGAAGCAGTGGTAATTGATCTGCCATGATGTCTAATTATTGGAAAGGGGAAATAATCAGAATTCAGACAGGAAGTGCTAATTATGAAATCCCACCTCCCTTTTGTTTGAAAATAGATGTAGTTCTCAGTATTTATGGTTAAGTGTATAAATAAACAAAGGAAAAAAACAACATGAAACATAGCAAATATATCAAAGATAAGCTGCATTACAAAGAAAAAGGAATCTTTCAGCCAATACAAAGAGAATGAATATCTTTAAAAGTATATTTTTCATAAAATGGGAACACTTTTAGAAAATACTTGTCCAACATGTGTATTTAAGGATACAAAAAGTTGAAAACATGATAACCTCAGAGTACAGAGCCATTAAGAAAAGGACTGTTATAAACACAGATTTTAAAAAAAAAAAAAAAACTTGAAAATATTCTGTATGATAAGCACTCCACCACTCTTCTGTCAGTTTGCCATTCTATAGTGGCTTGCTATTGCTATGATTCTGGAAGCTATACCTCTGGAATTTTAAATGCCAGTAGAGTCACTCATGATTGGCAAATCTCAGCTGAGCTTCCAGATGAAGACAGACTAGGAAAAAGGAGAGATGGACTATTTCCAAATATTTGGTGACAGAAAACCTAATGAATAGCGATGGAATACTGTCAGCACCAGAATATTGAAACATGATGAAGAACACCAGAAGATTGTCAGAAACAGTGCAAGAAGATGAGCCACTCAGGTTGTAATCATTCAAAACACGCCTGGGGAAGAAGTAGCTCCTCAAAGAAGAGCTGGCCATGATGATGCTAATGGAGTAACGCTTTCTGGACCTTCATTTGCTTATGGGGAACAACTCAAAATGAGGAGAAACCACTGTGAGCATCCAATGATAGTGTGAACATGAAATTTAAGAAGTATGAATGTCAAAAATGAAATTGAACACAAAAAATATCAATACTGTAAGCATTGGTGAGCTTAAATAGCTTGATATTGGCCATTTTGAATCTGACCATAGTTAATCACATGGTTAACAATGCCAGGAATAACAAATTGCAGAGGAATAGCATCACATTCATCATCATCAAACATTTTAAGATCTGTCTTGAAATACAATGCTTTCTGTGATAGTATAATATCCATACACCTCAAAGGAAGGCAAGTTAATACAACATTATTCAAACAGTAACACTAACCACTAAAGCCAGTGATGATGAAATTGAAGAACTCTACCAACTGCTTCCTTCTGAAATTGATAAACATGTAATATAGAAGCAATGATAATTACTGGAGATT